ATTTTGTGCAGTTCTATGCACCCTCAAAGTATTATTGCCACTTAGTAATATTTCTTATCCTTTTCTCATATATCCTATATTTTAGTGGAACTGGCCTTTTAGAAGCAGTGGAACTGGCCTTTAATTAAAGTAGTCACAACATCTTCAGTAACAAACCCCTTTTCTTCAAGAAAGTATGGCACAATAAGAAGTTTCCCTTCCACGGAAAGGAGAATTAGGATCCCAAAGAAAATTGTTAGTAATTATTTCACCTTTGCTGGTTATCCATAAGTATTGCAGAACATCAATGTAACAAATACAAAACTCATAAAGAAAAAAATATACAGTATTTTCTACTATATCCTGTAAAGGTAACATTTCTAATTTTATATCAGTCACTTTTACACATTTTAAAATAGGCAAATACCCTATATTATTATTATTAGGAAACAGAGAGTCTGCAAACAGAGTAAGGTGTCTCCAGAGATGTCTGACAGCTATCATCTTTTTGTAGAGGGATGGTTTACAAAATACCAACTACTTCAATTTGAAACAGCTATTCATGAAGTTTAGAATGCAGAGAGGAAAGACTCCAAATAAAAATCATGGTGCTCAACAGGAATGCACTCTCTCCACTGCAGGGTAAACAGCAGAACTATAATACACTACTGATATGAGTTCTAACTTCTCTGAGGAAGACAAAATTCTTGGATTATTTTATTTTTACCAAGTTGCTGAACTTCTATTTTTTAAGCCTTGGCAATGGGCAAGCCGGTTACTCTACACTTTGCCTCTGGTACCACACTCCCCTTTATAAAGTACATATCACACAGAATCAAAGCTCTTTGCCTCAGGACACAGAAAGGCAGTGTAGAAGTGGATGGCAAAAATATAGGCATAGCCTGAAAGTAATAACCATACAGACCTCATGAATGGTCTGAACAGTATCTTGCCAACATGGGGAAGACACGTGGGCAGGGGTTGCTTTTGAACATCAGCTCTGCCTTCCATATTCCTCGCTTGAGACAAGGGCTTAATCAAGATGCCACTGGCCTCAAGTTACACACATTCAGCCTAGGGTTTGTGGATGCCTGTGAGCCAAAAACTACTCCAATACGACTGCAAGAGGTAGTTAAGAATGATTTCACAAACAATTTAAATTGGCCATAAAGGAAACTCTACTTCTGATGGTAAGAGTAATTAGTCAAGAGAGTTTCAGCATCATCGACCATTAACAGTTGTTACATGATCTCTGTGCAATTCACATTAACTTTTGCCTAGCAAAATTATCCCTCTTCTAAAGACAGATCCGAACCAACAAGGTGCTGAGTCAGGTAAGATATCCCCAAGGGTACAGAGAACCAAATGTAGACTTGCTGAACATAAATTAGCCTCACAACTGCTCTAGCTCCTAAAGTGAACACACTACAGCTGGCACGCCAAGCTGAATTCTGCCATACTGCTTGAGGATCTAGAGAGACAGAGTTCAAACTCTCTGTAGGCACAAGAGTAATGACAAACTCCCCAACAACAGGCCAGGGCAGAAACCCTGAGGTGGCCTCTAGCCAATTCTGTTAAAATCCTCTTTCCTTTTCTTTCTTTTATCAGTGAGTAGTTGCTTATTTGTAATTTGATGCCTGCAAAAAATAAAAAAGAAACATGTATGCATCCTTCCACAATCTTTAAAGAAAACCCAGAAGAGATTGATACATAACAGTGCAAAGAAATCAGTGTGTCAGTAATTGCCTGTGCATGGAATAGTTTCCCAAGAACACTGTACCTCTTTCAGCAGCCTATTTTATTTCTTTCATGTCTATAGGCCTTCACTGTTTTGTTAGAGTTGATACCCATATATTATATTTCAGGGAAGGACAATAAATATCACATATCTCTGCTTCTACTGCTGCCCACTAGGCGCTTATCAGGACTTACCATAACACTGTAAGGGAGAAGAAAAAAAAAAAAAAGTCAGCCTGCTATGAAAATATTTTCCCTTCAGCTCAAACTCCCACCTGGAAACAGATTTCCTTTTAATTTTGATTGGTCTAAATGTCAGGCAATCTCACATCAGTGACAGATTTCTGCATATTAAACTACCAGTGTTCAAAGTGCTAACTTGCAGCTTTGCAAGACTGCATTTTCATAGGGAAGTGGATATTTCCAATCTTCTGAAAGATCCAGGAGTCACTTCTAGCCTAAGAGGTGTTATGTATCCAACTATGGAGAATTCAAGAACAGGGGAGGTGTGAGTGGCAGGCTGATTTCAGACATCAGTTTTCTAGCATTTCTTGCTTTCTGCTTAAAGAGCTCATCTGGGCTGCTGCACTGTGACAGGATGTTGCTGCCCGGGTAGAGAACCTTGTTCTAAGAGGACATTATGTAGATACTCACATGCCCAAGAGCCATGTCACCAAAGAAGATGGAAACAAGGAATAGACAGACTGGGTTCCCAGAACTGAAATGGCTACAGTGAACCTGGATTGGGAATGTAAGGGTGAGGTAATCTTAACTCAGTGGGCCCACGACACATCAGAACACCTACAGGGTAATGCAGTGCATGGATGGGCTCGTGGGCGAGGGGAGGGCCTGACCACTGAAGCCACTGAACAGGTTATCTATGAATATGAAACATGTGCCATGATTATGCAAGTCAAGTGGGTAAAGCCTCTCTGCTGTGGAGAACAGTGGCTGGGAAAAACAGTGTGGGTTGCTGCTTCCTCAGGAAAAGTCAAACCTGTTCATGGGGTTGGTTTTGCTCAAGGACCGGGTTGCAGTTGGTGGATAATGCAGGAGGATGGGAAAACCTGGTGTGTACATCAAGGAGATCTAATGCTGGGGGAAAACAATCCATAATTTGAGTCAGATGTTCAAATGGTTGACACAAATCCTTTTTGGATACTTAGTGAAACCATTAAAGACAAACCTCCTCTATCCTGCAGTTATGTTCTGAAAAGTGATTATTTCAAATGGCAATGTCAGATAAAATATATTGTAAGATAAAACCCTCACGCACATTGCTGAGGTTTTCTACAAAAGACAAAACGAGTAGAAAAATATCCAAAAAAATCTATTAATACTAATACTAACACAGAAAAAACAGTATAGCTATGAACATGACACTGAGTCATGGCTCGTACACAATATGCTTGTAAGCCTCTATTAAAATAACACGACCAAAAAAAAAAGTGTACCTATTTTGCTTTGCATTGTCTAGCCCCCATATATTTAGAAGAACAGCAATAGACCCAACCAGTTTGTATCTTAAGTAAGTCTGAATTGTCAGTGACAATTTATAAAACAGAATAAGTACATAGACAGTTTTCTGGTGAGACTGTAGAACTGCCAGGCAGAAAAACAGGCAGAGTTTGTTAATAGAGAAAACTGGATTAAAATTTGCCTGGACACAAATCAGGAATGATAACCTACAAATTTCACAAACTCAACTAGCAGAAAACTCAGTGGGTATTTTTTCAGCTAAAGTTACTGAATAGAATTTATGTTTTAGCTATTTATGTCAAGATAAACACATGAAAACAGTCACTGTGGAATGACAGAGACAACATGTGCAGTGTCTGCTAACTTTATCTAATTGTGATATTTTACCCTCCCTTCCAGCACTGACCTCCTTTGTCTCCTGCATAATGTTTTGCCTCCACACTATTACCTAAGAACTTCATGAACTAGTGTAGTAGGCTAACTGATAAATGCTGGAGATTCTGCATGTACCTCTTTTTTCATCCTAGAAAATATGGTTTCCTTCAAAACATGTTTGCTCTTTAAAGATGTTTATGCAGACAGTGAAGTCCAGTAATAGGATTAACTCTGCTCAACCAAAACAGCTATCAGCTCAGCAGACAGATTAATGAGATCATCTCACATGTTGCATGACATCTTCTGCCTTGCTAATTCCAAACAGAAAATTCTAAGACTAGGTTAAAACACATTATAAAGACAAGCTGAAACAGTAAGAAAAAACACCTCAAGATGCTGTATTTCCCAGACAAACTAAAATCACATGGAGCGATGCAAGTGTTGTTATTTGTGAGGGGCTGCCTCATAAGTGAGGGCCAAAATCCCCTCCACGTCCCAGATACATCTCTTTGACTGACAGATCTTACCTGGGACTAAGAAGATATATATCAGTTATACTGCTGAGGTAAACAAGTAAGGCCAATACAAAGCATATGGGAAGGATGTTAAATACCTCACTTCAAGAAGCCAATTAGCTGCCACATCATACTCAATCTGTTTGTTGCAGAGGATACTAAATCACTTCTTATGTGCTTCCTACATTAAACTAACAATTGCACGGCAGTCAACAAATTCCCATGAGATCTGAACAATCAGCCAGAAGCAGCTTTGTTACAGCACTGTTGAATGCGCCAGGAACTAAGTTAGAACCGTTTGAATGTACATATCAGAGGTTCCTGCTTCAGCTTGCACCGGTGGATGGAGAAGCTTACACCAAAAAAAAAAAAAAAAAACCAAAACCAAAAACCAGCCTATCCATTAATCTGTTGTCAGATTCAGAGCAAATAATATTCATTTATCCTAGAGACTCTGAACGCATAAAGATGCTCAAAGCATAAATGAAATTTACACTATGATAGCACCAGAGAAGGAGTTTAATTACAATGACAATATAACTCAGTCTAGACAATGTTCTCATTCAGTGTGCCAAAGCTTTCCTTCTGAATTTTTGTGTTTGGACAAGACCCAAGTAGCAAGAAAACCGCAGATCCCCAAGTTACAGCAGTCTCACAAGGGGCTTTACCATCAACAGGTTGTACATGAAGCATGTGACACTGCCAGTTCTTACATTTGTGGAGGGAATCCCCTAGACAACCTTAGGATTTACAGATGAATGACTTGAATTTTCCCAGTATGATCATTACCTGGTCCTACTGCCCCATTAATTCGGATACTTATTAGAGTAAAGCATAACAGTAAGTCCCAGATTTTTAAATGGCCAGCTATGATATATTCATATGTCATCTGTTGGAACTATGACAGCTACTTACTCCACAGTACCGGTCATCGCTGAATATCTGTGGTGGCAGCGGATTGCCCTGTGCAGGCTGCCTATCCTCAGGAATGTTTTTATACATCCACTGTCTTTTCTCCTCTGACATGGTGATATCCACTTCTTCAAACTCTATGCGATTGGCTTCCAGAAACCTCACCACATCCTGTTGCCTCTTCTTTATCTAGATAGAAGAAAGAAAAAAACAATAGTCATAGCAAGTTCACCATAATAGAGACTTGTAATGCAGACCCTGTAAGGGTCTCACCAGAAGTAGAAGTTAAAAGAGGCATTTTAGGGGCTATATTTTTAAAGTATACAGGCACCTAGAAATGAAGGTAAACAACCTTGCAAGTCCCAGGAGAATTTACTCCTCTAAGTGTTCATTGAGATAAACATGTTATTACATCTGAAAAAAAACCCACCCCAGCTATACACATTTTTGTTTTGCTAGACTTCTACACACATTTTAAAATGCAGCTCTACATTCTCCTGAGCAAAGCTCGCTGAATCTTAATTAAGAGTGTCTGTCTGCATAATACATATGCCTTCAAGTAAGCATGACATCATCTCTTGAAAATTACCTTTTTTGCAAAAAAAAACAAAAAAAAGCAGGAGGTTTGTACTGAATGTATGGGATTTCAGCCCCCCTATGAGATTTTCATCTTTATACAAAAGCCTAACAGAGGCAGAACACAGGCAGTTTTTAGGCCATTGTGGCTAAGATGCGCTAACTGCATGATCTCAGAGGTCATTTCCAACCTTAATGATCCTGCAACTCTAAGATCAACCCTTAATGGCTAGCTGGGCTTCAAGCAGATACACTCAGATAAAGACCACTTCTGCCTCAAATAGGACTTTATATCAAGACAACAACCTTTGAGGTTAAAGTCTATGGAGCCAAGGAAAGCCACCTGGGACAATTCAGCTAGGTCTGCTCTGCATTCTTGTCAGTCTATTCTCTATTTGTTGCATCTGCTTAATGAAATTATTTATTTCAGAAAGGAACTATAACTTAGGTGCTGTAGTGTTATTTGAAAAAAAAAAAAAATCAGCTTTAATAATTTTACAGTATTCCTAGAGTGTCGGATCCATGCAGTTGCTGGCTGGCATAAAGCCCAGGTGGATGAATCATGCCTCTGGGTATCATATGACCTAGATACTATCTGGAAATCAGAGGATTTTTAAAGTGCATGTGCTAGTTGTTCTTGTCACACAACCCAGTCTCTCTATCTAAATGCATCACAAAAATTACTAACTTTTGAAGGAAATACAGATGGAATCATTATTTCCTTGAAATAAGATGGCAGCCATCCCAAGAAACTGCAAAAACTGCTCTTAAACTATTACTGTCTTTCTTAAGGAGTGGCCTGCACAGTAAATTTGTGTCTCATTGCCTCATTCTTTTTCCTTTCTTTGTGTATACTGGCGAGATTTTTTTAGGCATATGTGAAAGGATCTCTTTTTTACACGAGAAGGCAGTGCCTAAAATTGCATGCAACTAATACATCATCAACAACAGCAAAATTACCGCATCATCATCACTGCTGTTACCCAAGACAACACACCTTTTACTATATTCCTAAAAATTCCAAATATAGAAGTGAAAGACCAATGTATTTTCCTCTGTCTTTCAACCAAAAGAAAAAAAAAATCTAAAATGATGTGTGGGAGAGTACTCCACTTCCTTACAGTGGAGTACTGCTAAAACTAATACGAAATTCCTCCTGCACTAGTCAGAGCAACTAGCAAAATACGCAGTGGCTGGTCCAGCCCTCTGACCCCAAAGCCAATTGGCATCATCTGGCCAAGCCTGTTAAACCTGCAGCCTCTCAGAGTGGCTGCATGCAAACTGTACACTGGGAATGATCCCTGGCATGCCGTAACATCTAAATCATGGCCACGAGCTGTTTGTGAGGCTCCAAGTTGGCCTTGGCCAAAACTGTCTGTGCCAGTAACCATTCTTTGAACCATTTCAGAGTGCTAAAGAGCTCCATTGCTCAGGGCCAGGACATGCACCAGTACAGATGTATATCCACATGTACCTATTTTCATCTGCTGTACCTTCCAACACAGTATCTTCCAGTACCCTGTACACTGAGCAGGATTTTAACTGCAACTTAGATTTAATCAGATCCCTATTATTTTACAGTTCACACCACAAAAATTCTCCCACAAACACATATTTCATAATCTCTCCTTTTATATTTATAAAACTAATTAAAATGTTGAAGTGAAATAAATTGGGTTGAGTTTTTTTTAGCCATAAGCCTTACAATTCTCCACATGACATCTGTATGAGTTATCAGCTGTGGATGTACCAGCTGCATAAATTTAAACAAAATAGCCTGAAAATTTTAAGCCAAAAAAGTAGCATTTTCTCCTCCCCCAAGTGATTTGATTCAAGCCTATAAAGTGAAACAAGAGCATTAGTTACATTTAAAATCCTATTAAATTATGCCTTGTTGTGCAAGACGGATGCTCAGAGCATCTGCCACAACAGAAGCCAGCTGATTATTCCCCAAGAAAACCACAGGACCTTTGTCTCCCTCTACAACTGGATCTGTGCCGCAGGAGTGCGTCAGCCTCACAATCCTGCTGCAGCTCTCATCTGTGCTTACTCTGCGCTCTAAGAGCTCCCAGCATTCAGCCACATGAAACATGGAGCAAAGACAACATGGTGCAAAGAGCAGGGTCAGTCCTCCCATCCTCACTAGCCCGTGCAGAGGATCAGAACTCTTGTCAAGAGCCCAGTAGAGAAATAGACATTCTCATCTGACGAACTGTGGAGGTCGATAGTCCTCTTTGTAAAATTTTACTTTGTACCTTGCTGCTTCCAAGGTTTCCAGAGTTTGATGCAACTGAAAGGAATCTGAAAATAGTATTCATATTATCAGAGGTATCATGTTCAGAAAAGTTTGGTTGGAGGCTATTCGTATACCTCTTTGGGAAGGAATTTGTAGTCTTACAGGATGGACCACTTCAGCATCAAAATATTTTGGGTTTAAGATCTTTTAGTACACCAGAAGACATTGAGATACACCATCAAAACATATATCCACTGTGAAGTTTTAGGCAAAAATCTTTACATAATATGTTCCTAATCTATCTTTAAATGTGATAAGAAAACTGATAGAGCTAATGGTCTCCTATTATAATTCTATTATTGCCTCCTGTATTTTTAGAAGGGTGATTGTTTTCTGAACATCGTTTCTCTGGATTTGGTTTTACTGTTCAACTATGTTTCTATTCAAAAAACTAAAAAAAAAAAAAATCCCCAGAGGCATCTCAATTTTATCCTGGTATTCAGAGCTGATGTCTTTATTAGAATTAAAAAGCAGCCAAAATAGGATGTCCATTGTGACACACAAAACTGCTAAAATGAGCTAATCACTCAGCCCAATTTAATCAGTAGCCCAATTTATGAACAAAGTCTATTGTAGCTTAAGCATTCTGTCTTTCTGCCCTAGTTTTCATTTTTTCATACTGATTTGCAACAGGTAACAGGAGGATAGCCAAACTTTCAAGCTTAGGAGAAAGACATATTCAGGTCTGGCCAGGTGGGACCACTGGGATTATTTCTGACCTTCAGCATCCCTGAATTAATACCTCTTAGGAGTAAAGTTTCTTTGATATTTTTTTTTCCTTCTAAGCTGCATTCCTGAACTGATAATAACAGAGAATCTGCTAGTCTTTGCAAATTTTTCCCACAGTTAATTAACTGTCTTCACTTAAAATATTTGCTTGCTTCTGTTCAGAATTTACCTCACTTTCAGCTTTCAGACACTTTACTTTTCATGTCTTTGGCCACACTAAAAACTGTTCTGTTCTAGGATTTCTGTTTCCCACACAAGTAATATGTGGATCTTCAGTAACAAGAGAAATCCCATTGCTCATTTAACAGCAGAATGAGAAAAAGAGGATCTTACCATCATAAATCATGTCCAGACTGGAGCAGAGGTTTAGCAAAATCAGATCACGTGCTCTATCCAAAATTCCTTGGAAGTTCCTCATCACTTCCAACAGGTGACAGTTTCCTTCTTTTTTTTCCCTGCTCTCTATGCTTCCTGAATCTGTTTTCATAAGTTCTTCTGTACTAGAAAAGCTTTCCTACTGACAGCTGCTGAACCAGAGGAGCACAGCATGTGGTCTCTTCATTACTGAATGGCAGGAGTATTTCATTATTCTGTACTATTCTAACCAAGATATTCGATATCATGCAAAAAACTTACTAGTTCAGGACTTACCTAACTCAAATAGGATACATTAATATTACTTCTACTATACTATATGCAAGATGACTCAAGTAGCAGTATTGATAGGAACTGTGAGATAGCCACGATTAAAGACAACTTCTCTGCCTTATTTCATTAGCCCAGTCTATATAAATGGCACAAAGCAGACACATTCTCGCTTTCAAATTTCTTCACACTGTCAGCAGGCATGTTGCTGGGCGTCTGGTGCCCTCAAAGTGGATGCAGAAGGTTGGTCTTCTGCTCTCAACTCTAGCCCCCACCTTCTGGAGACAGGGTGTTCTCCGGGTTTCTGTCCTCCTGCCTGAAGTAAATGAAATGACAGCAGGTACCTCTCCGTGCATTGGCTGGTCACTGAGATGTGTTGCACCGACTGTCCTACAGACTCTTCATCCTGGAACTGAAAGCCTAACCTGAACTATCCACTCATTCCAGACGGATACCAAGAACAAATAGCCAGCTTTCTAACACAAAATCCCACCCCAAAAAAATATTTGGACCACACACGCAGAGTGAGAACAAAGCCCTGTGATGGTTATCTTCTAAGCTGGCTTGTCAGACCACAAGCATATTTTAGAAGTCCGACATTTAAAAAATGAAAACTGAATGCACGTCTAAGTTCACCTCACATACTTGTTTCACATCCTGGCATACACCTATTTAGACCTGTGCCTCTAAAGATGGAGGTGGTCTCACTGATTTGCTTCCCTCCCTTTCAGTCTGGTTACTCTTTCCTCACACCTGTCCTTACTCCAGAACTGCATCAGCCACATTATCACCCCACTGACTCAGCCCAAAATTGAATGTACTCCATTTGGCAGGGGCACCTTTATAGCACAGTTTGATGATACAGCTCAGTAGATCTCACTGCTGGCTGTCACTGACATGACACAATGTTCTTCCCTCCTGCCAAGTAGCTCCCGCAGCTTTT